AAAATTGATAAGATCAAAAAATATGAGAGATTAAAATGGATATTTATTCTATTTTAAATTGCTAATATTTTAAAATTCTTATCCAAACGCATGCTATGTGTTTGATTTTCTTCTATGACAAATCAAATATACTTATAGAGCAGCAGTCATTTGTCACTAATGTGTGAAAAACATTGGAGTTGGGTAAAATGGAATTATTATTTTATTGTCTCAAACCATCTCCCTATTAATAATAATGAAACAAGATATAAAAAGAATAATAAATTTTTTTTTTTTTAATTTATATGAAATTTTTTATTTGTGTAAGATATGATTTAAGATGTTGGATACTTATTTGCGAAACTGTAACAAATAGGTTCCGAATCATTTTAGCAGCGTCTAATAGGGATAAAATTCAAGACAAGTTATATTATCATAAATTTTCTATTGATTTTTGATGCTCTTGACTTTAGCACCTGTGAGGATACCCACGGCCGAATACACCAAAGTATAAGACTAATAAATCTCACAACTAAAATATTGAAGTTAGAAAGCAAATTAGTAGTAGTGATCAGGATCTGTAAGGTAATTCAATTAAGCAAAGCAGAGAAGATTAGTTATGACTCAGAATCTAGGATGTGATAATGCAGATAAATTATTGAACCTTGTACAGTAAAATACAAATAAAAGAGGTGTCATTACCAATTCACATATAATGGAAATTTCTAAAATTGTAAACTAATACTTGAAGTACAACATCCATATCATGACATCTTATAATTCCAGATTCGTGAATAAAGAAAATTAACAGGGAAAAATGAATCAAGTAGTAGATTGAGGTAACAATAAATTAAAATGGAGACAAATTTGGACAAATAGTGTGTTCAACTGTACTACTTCTATAGCATATGCATCAGTAACCAATGTTTATACAAATTAGAGAAGACAATAAGTTAAGAGAGATATTTCCAAACTAGTAAATTTCATTCTCTCCAAACACTAGATATATATATATATATATATATATATATATATATATATTCATTTCATTTTCAGTCTTCTGTAATCCCAAACATCAGTTTTCAAGCCCAAGAAATCATAAGCAGTACTAGTACTATTTCTCTTCCCACTACTAGTGGTGTTGCCAATGTCACTACCATCCCCACAGCTATAATCATTGCTATTCTGCATACCCAAATTGCAACCAAAGTAAAGGCTTCTATCCATATTCTTGAATGGTTGATCAGGCTCATTCATACGGGGAGGACTAATTGTTAGCTCAAGATTCAAGTCAGGGCAACGTTCTAACAAAGTTCCTCTGCCATCTTTATTATTACTCACAACCTCAAACATGCTTGACTTACTAGTAATACTAGGATCTTGTTCTTGTTTAACAACAGCAACAGAAGCTGATGAAGCAAAAGATATTGTGTTGGTTGCTGCAACAGATGTTTGAACTTCATGATCTTGAACACGATTCTCAGCATCATTAAGATGCCTGTGAGTTGCAGGGTCAATTCCTCTGCTCATAAGCTTTCTCCTTATATGAGTGTTCCAGTAATTCTTTATTTCATTGTCTGTTCTTCCTGGCAATCTTGCTGCTATCAAAGACCACCTAAAAGAACATTTTTTTAATCACATATTAGTCAAAACTCAAAACCCATTTCAATAAATATTGATCTTAACGATCTCCTTCCAAAAAAAACGAGCCCATATAAATAAAAACACTATTACTCAAGTTTTTTGGATCCCAATATTGAGCTTACTTGTTACCAAGGAGACTATGGAGTTTGATGATGAGTTCATCTTCTTCTTCAGTGAAGTTGCCACGTTTAAGGTCAGGACGAAGGTAGTTGATCCACCGGAGACGGCAACTCTTGCCGCATCGGAGAAGACCAGCTGCTTTGGGGAGAGAACGCCAACTTCCTTCACCATGAGCACGAATATAAGATATGAGTCTATCATCTTCTTCTTTAGTCCATGCACCTTTGTTTGTGTGTGCTTTCTCACAACAAGGAGACCTTCCCATATTAACTACTAATTATCAACACACAACTCAAAACTCCACCACTTCAGAGTTTCATTATTTATGTGTCAATCCTATATAATATATGATATATGATATGGTATTGTATGCTTGGATTGGAATATGGAAATTGGAAGGTAGAGTTGTAGTGTCATTTTTATAGGCTTTTTTTGACTCAAAGGATAGACATATATATATAAGAGAGAGGAGGAAGACCCTAATTGCCTTCTAGATGTGAGTTGGTGAGATAGGTTAAAGTGAGTGGCTGTTGGATCTCTCCACTGGACAACTATATTTGGTCCCAAATATTTGTTAGAACAATGATATTGAATCAAAAATAGAAAAAATAAATATTATTCAATTTTTAATTGATGTAAAATATCTTCATTAGTCCATCATATAATTTTGGAATCAAATATTGCTCTATGATAATACATTTATTATTATTATATTGAGAATTTGAACAGCTATTTAATATTATATTTTAAGATAATGAAAATGAAATTTTTGTTTTAAAAATTTATGTTTTAAGTTTTTGATAAAGGTTAGTTTTGTTTTTTCAATATCATGTTCTTTAAACAATATATTTACCACATTTTTATAATCTTATTATAATACTATATTTACATCAATGAGTTAAAAGGGGACATTAACTATGGGTACCCTTCAGGTTGGTATAAAGTAGAAAATATTAAAGTATGGGCAAGGCAAGACAAGATGTGATATCTTGCTCCTTTTAGAAAAAGAGAAACATAGTGTATATCTAAGACGCCTTGCCCCAATATAGTAAATAAATAAAAACTTGAAGTTGTCCATTAATCTTGTGCTAATAAAAAAATTCAGTTCTCAATTCTTTTTTCAATAATCGTTGCATAAAATGTCAAGCTGTAATTAGGTAAAGTGTACGGCACCTCTGTATGACTGTATCTAATGGCTTCCAATTAGAAAAGGGTAGAAATTCACTTACTTCAAGAGTAAGTGGAAAAAATATACTTCACATCATGATCATTTATTATTGTAAAATCTAATGATTTGAATTGGTGAGTACATCTAAATCATTAGATTTTCTAAGATCGAATGACTAGAATGTGGAGTATGTCTTTTTCACTTACTCTTGAAGTAGGTGAATCCATCCCCATTAAAAAATTGGTTATTTCATTTACACTAACATGTGATCAATGGAATCAAATTAAAGTTGTAGAGTTTTGTTATTGTGAAAGTTGACTGAAATATAGAACCTAACATTTTTTTAATTTATATTTTATTAATATCTTGAATGTCACAACTTCATCTCACTCTAACCTTTTTTGTATATAAAGTGTTACATATCGACTTTCTTGTTATAATCAAATTAAACAGTTATACCAAACTCTAGTAACTTTCTCAATCTTCAATGTGGTAGTTTAGTTCTCTGTCCACAATTTTCCTCATTTATTTGAGCACCAATTATTCTTATTAATTGCTTAAATCACAAGCATGGTTCTAAAATACTCTGATAAAAGTTGGACAAATATCTAACTTAACATGTTTTCTCTAGTTTTATGTTTTCTTGTTCCATGAAATCACCACCAAATCTATAATTATATGTGGATAATCTACCCAATTCAAATAGAATGCCTTAGACATAAGAGTCCCACATGGGTTTAGTTTTCAATGAACTAGAAAATTATCTACTTCAGTAAGTTAATTGTAATGGGCAATTCCTTGAAAGAAATTGAACAGTAGTTAGGTTACAAGTGTGCCAAAGCAGAGATATAGTAATGGTAGTTGTGGTTCTTCATTCTAAGGGTGCATTAGGATGCATGTGAGATAGAGAGACAAGTTTCTAGAAGAGTTGAAAGTTGGGTTTAAGGAATGATTATGAAATAAGAGAAGGGGATATCAAAAGTTAAATGAGTTGGTTGTGGTGCAAGTTTAGGAAAGGTAGCAAGGGAAAAGGGTTGGTATAGGGGGAGTTTCATTAACCTTTTAGTTGTCACCTTCCCCCAATTGAATAATATTATACTAGTTATCTACCACCATGTATAAATTATGATATATTCATTCTCTATGAATATCAAGTGGATGGTAAGAGTTAATGTGATGGGTACAAGTTGCTTTCAAGGGTGAAAGATTGGGTCCAGTTGGGTAATTATTTTGGAGTATTTCACCAACCTTTTTCACTCCTTTTCTGACTGTACTTGCAATTCTAGTCCAAATCATCCATCGGTTACATGCTCAACACTATCACTCCCTACTACCTACTATCTAATTTAATTGTGCTAGGAATCAAATATGTGATACAAAGAAATAAGTAAAGTGATGAACATATACATGAATAATATATCTATGAACCTAATAAATTAGTTTTTAAATTAATATGTGATGTTTGATCTACTTATTTATTGGCTTATTATTGAAGTTCTGATGGTGATTTGCTCTTGGAAACAATTAAATTTTGCAATAATTTCTCCTACCTATTTGTTTTTAAAGAAAATGAACAACTCAACTAAGATCAAGAGCATGCAATTAACATGTATTAATTGGGTGAGGCAACAACACTACCTAACTCTAGAGTCTAGCCATAGGGTATCCAAAAAGATGCAATGTGGCTATAATGCTAGTTACCAAATAATAAAATGATGGATGAAATGCATAAATGCACACATCAATGTATGAAGCATCAACCATGGTCGCAATATGTTGGGTATGCAATTATTAAAAGAGATCATCCTATAATGGCCTCCTTAGCTAACCCAAAAGCAGAGTCACATGGGAAATTCTTAAAATTTGAAAATATATATATTAAAATTAAAAGGAAAAGGGAATAACAAGAACCAGGAAGAGAACACAGCGTACCATTTAAATCTACATAATTGTTTGTGTATGGTGACAGCCAGCACAGCAAACACGACTATGTCATGTGCTTAGGTACTCGTGGGAGGTTTACCTACCTCTTAGGTTGTCTTCCACATGCTGTTCTTCCTGAACATTAATCTTTTCTATTTGGTGGATAAAATTTAAAACCCATTATTCATTGCTCAAAAAATGTCTTTTTTTAACACTAATGACAGACACCAATTGCTGATACAGATTATCTATCTCAGACCATGCCTCGAGTTGATATTAACGTCATGCTTTTCTTTCCTTTTTAAATAGGATAGCATGTTCTACAGCCTGAGGATTATAATATATGAGGTGCTAGAGTCAGAGGGAAGTCATCTGAATCTTCGTAAAGTAACATTCAGAGGATAGGATAAGTCATCTAACTCGATTAGTAATTGCCATATCAAGCACTTTATCTGATCCTAGTCCAGCAAAATCTATCTTCTGAATGTTAAAATTATTAAAAATATGAGCTAGAACCCCACTTCCAAATTGCTGTATTTGTGTTAAACTTGCAGAGCTAAAGCACCACCTTCTATATATTCAGCACATGCATAGCTCTCACATTTACTGAATGTTAAAATTATTGGTTATCCTATGTTTAGATATACAGTGCATTACAACTGTGCTAATAGCCTAATACACAATTACACAAGATTCACATCAAACCTGTATGATTTTTACCATATGATTAGGTGATTAAAACTACTCTCATTTTGTAGTTTGAACACCAACTCTCTTCCAATACCTAACAGAAGTGTATATGATGTCGTGTGTTTGAAGAAAATATGCACATTATTGGTGGCATAAATGGTGTACAATTATTAAAGATCCAATATTTAATATTTTGTGATCAAAGCTTGCCTTAGAGTTCTCTCATCTCGTGGAGTACGTATTAATTTAGAGCATGTCACAGATGAGGTAAAGGCATGGAGGAGTTACTTGTCCAGATTGTGTTCACAGGTTTTCATAATTCTGGTTTACCTGCACGTGACATGTATACAATTAGTCTATTTGCATGTCTATCCTCCTTGTCAAATTCTTCAGAGAACAAAAACATGTCACTGGGGGTATAAAATGTTAATTTAAATATTATAATGTTGCTATTGAATGGAGTATTCAGTTGTGTATTTAGTCTATTCAAATAATCAGAATAACTGTAGCATTACTCCTATTGGTACAAAGAAAACAGATATTGAAACTGCGAAACTGATCCCAATATTTCTCATTATAGGTCACACATATGTCATATTTGAGTGAGATTAACAAAGCCGAGTCTACTTCCCTCTTTTGCGAACTTAGTACAGGTAACTGAAGATCACCACCACCACAGCAGTAACTACAACTCCGACAGCACCATGCACCAGTACAGTTGAGTCCTTAGGACTTAGGAGAAGCTGCCTTTGAGGGCACAGAGACTAGCTCTGAGTTTCTTATGTGATTCAGCATAATCTCTAAAAAAAAATTATCCTCATCCTGCCTGAGGGCCAGTTTGGAAGTAAGAGCAGCAGACAGATTCAAGTAATGGGAAAATACATCAATACACTCAGAATATTGCTACAAATAGCTAACCTTTACTTTTTCTTCAATGGATTTGGAGAAAAACCAAAACTTCCCATGGATGTCTTAGGTAAGCTAGTCTACATAAAAGTAAGTGCTAATAGATGCAATATGTTTGGTTTACTGTATAGACTTCATTAGTTGTGTATTTGGCAACACACAAACAGGCTTCATGGCATAGTAAGGAGACTTATGAAATACTAATGAAACACATTAAATTGGCAGGACAATGGACTAAATAAAACAAATGGGGACAACGTAATGGCCGTTTGAATTAAGCAATCCCGTTACCATTGCATACAATGATATGGGATTGCAAAACTCAGGAGCATCCAATAAAGCCTTGCCTGTTGGAAGTTTAAGCAGCCCCGCAGAATCTTCTTTTGAAAGTTCCCTGATATCAACAATGATATTTAGCTTCTAAATATAATTAAGATCAGCCCATATTTGGAGACAAAACTGAAGCTCTACAAATGTCCTAGTAGGAAGGCTAAAATAAGCAGCAGTATTGCACAAAGCTAAAGTCCTACACAAAGTATGAGTTGTCAAACTTCAGGGGATCCTCTGTCCAAGGGCCATCAAACCCTGATCTCTCTGGATGTGATATTCCCTTGTATCACCAAAGAAAACAGCCATAACCACAACAAGTAATAAAAAGATATACGCAAAAGGGCAATTACCAGCAAATGTCCCCCAGGCATTGCAACAATGTCCTTGTTAGACAGGCCCATTCTATAAAAGATATCACACAGATGTGGCACACATACCAACAGCATTCACATTTATGTTTTCATGTAAGATTCTTAACCTAGTTCATTTTAAATTGTGAGGTTTAAAAGTAAACAGAACACCTTCACAGCTCTAGTAAGATATTTACCTTGTTTGGCATCAGGAAGTCGCCCTTCTTTGGGAGATATTTTTTAACCCCACAAGAGATAAAGTAACATGAACTAACAAGATTCTGATATTGTCACAACAAACAATATATTAATATGGCACAACATACCCTTCTTCCGGGAACTTAGTCAATTGTGGGACCCCTAGTAACCTCAACTACAACAACACATGCAAGCTGGAAACACAAGGAGAGAAAACAATTTTAATTCAGATTCACATAATCTATGTAGCATTTGGTGATTCTATTCTACATTTATGAATGCATATGGTCGCGCAGCCGAAAATCTATGTTTCTATAAAATATGGACTTAATGTGCATTGGACTTCATCAGTTCGTGATATACAAGAAAATCCAGTAAAATGTCTTGATTCTGATGGAAATCAATTCTTAAGTTAGTTTTATAGTATGCAAGAAAACCTAATGTATTCAACCTCCTTGTAGAAATCTTAGGAGCTAAGGTTACATGCATGTAAAACACTAGTTATAAGAGAACTGGATCTCAACCAGGTAGATGCTTAAGCTGGTGAAATTTGAAACACACACCATTAACTAACACAGGAGCTTGAGCTTCAACTATATCTTGTTCTTTTCTTAACTATTAACCTTCAGGTGCACTTCTGCACTTGATCCGATGTTTAATAATAAAGCTATCCAGAAATCACTTCTTTTTGGGGATCTTTTTCCCTTTTGTGTCCAGCAGGAAAGGTGTGCAGGTCGTATGAAACTATCCAATAGTGTCATTTAATTAATTGAAAGAAAATTGGGTGGCCCAATGCATGAGGCTCCTGCCAGTGGGTCTGGGGAGGGTAGATGTACGTAGTCTTACCCTCTCAAGCAAAGATACAAAATTTATCTTTAGATTTGAAAACCCATCTACATACAGGTTACAAGGCAATCAACCTTATCAAAATTTGAAAGAAAGTTGGACGATACAAAAATTTGTTAAAGAGAAAAGTTGCCATCATAATCTTTGGATAGTACAGATTCGTATGCTCTAGATGACAAAGTAACTATCCAAATAAATAGTACAAAAAATGAGAATCTGCAAAAGACTGAACATGTTAAGTTTTCTCCCTAACATGGTTCATCGTAGAAAAGTTACCTATCCAAATTTAATGCATAGTCCTTGACAGATTGGTTAAAAACCTAAAAAAATATGAACTCATGAATTAAAAGAATTGCCAAGGCAGGCAAGTCTTTTTTGTTTCTGGGTAGAGAGAGGAATTTATGACACTAGAGATAGACAAGTACGAGTACAAAAAAGTCACCTTCAAAGAGAACCGGAAAAACGGACAAAACAACCCAGACTAGCTGATTAACTGACCAAAGCTAGACAATCTCTCTCCAACTGTATTCTTCTGTGGTCGAGGGTTGAAGTTATCAGTGTCAACCTTATGGTGCATAGGGTTCTATCTTCATACACTTTTGAGCACTTAAGTCTGTCCATTTAAGTTTCATTCAAGCACCCAACACTGAAACATGGTAAAAAATAGAAACAATGAACGAATAACAGCTTAACAATCTAGAGAAAAGCCTAAGCATAGCAACCATATAAGTATTGAGAATCGTAAATAATGTATAAACAGAAGAATTTGAGTTGCAAGTGGCAGAAAAAGGAACCATGAAATAAACATGAGATAAATGATCCAATTGTACACTCTCCAAACAAGATTGAAATCTCATTGATTCCATGTTACCGTTTCCATCTAATGAAATTCAATACAAAATTAGGGATTCACTATAGATTTTTACAATAACTGAATGAAGACAAATATGATCACCTGGTAAAGGTCTGCATATGTAATCCTGGGATGTTTTCCCTTCACTTCCTCTGTTACATAAGAAAATAATAGAAATCTCGGAAAGACGAGGAGAGTGACGTATATGCAGTGAATGATTATAATTTTGGCAATAAAACTGTAAGAGGTAAAGAAATTGAAATTGGAAGATGAGCATTGAAAATGTCAATCAGACCTATTAAGTCTTGTGGTGACTATAATTGTCGAATAACAGAAGTATTTGCAGATACAAGCATGGAGGAGCAACACAACTAACCAATAAAGTTGTGTTGATTGATTCATTGGTTATTTATTGTGTTAAAACTGAACTTTGTTATTTACGATTTCGAACCAGAACCAAGAACACGAGCTGAATATATTAATCATTGACATAGTAATGAAAGCATCTCAGTTCATTCTCTAAATTTTATAGTTTGAATAGTTAATCATCAAAGAATATTTAACTACCTAGGGCTAAGATAGATAGATAGATAGCACAGAAATGAATAGATATTTAACCTTGAATTGTTTGATTGATTGAAGAATGAAAGAGATGGGGATAAAATGATGTATAAGATACATAGACGGCAAGCGAAGCATGATATGAGCGCAGTTTCTGTTGGCGGTGAGTAAGCGGAGATGGCGGCGAGCCTTGTCGATCTCCTTTAGCTACTCTCAGTCAACAACCACCGCCGGCAAAGCCACTCTCATTTTTTATTGAACAACAAATGCAACTTCTCAACTTCATGAAAATATAAGCTTATCTATGATTTCTATGTATTTATACTTATTTTATTATTAGATAAACACTTTGTATTTGTCTACCCGTATTCTTATTTTATTATATTAAGTATTAAATTTTTATATATTTTATTTTATAAATTATAATATTTTTATATTGAGAGTATTTTATGTTAAAAAATTGTATTTATTATAATATTCATTTTAATTTAAGGTAAGATATGTGATTAATGTGCTAAGGATAGTTACTAGAGGTGTCAAAATGGGCTATCCGGATGGGTTCGGGTTAAACCGGGTCAGACTAAAAAGTCCAGATACAATTTATGTATATCAAAATGTAGCCCAAGCCCGCCCTATGTGGGTTGCGGGTTGTAGCGGGCCAGCCCGCATAATATTAAAAAAAATTATTTAAATTTTAACATATTTAATATATATATATCATTTGATATTAATGCATAAATGTTTTAACACAATTGTTATACTCAATGTAACCAAACTTATAGATATAATGCTATGTGTTTGAGCTAAGACATGATGTTAAGTCTATGGATATGATTCATAACATAACTAAAATGTGTCAAATTTAATACTCAAACCCTACAAAAATTCGGGTTGTGGCGGACCAGCCCGCACGGGCCCGCACATTTTGACACCTCTAATAGTTACTTAGGATTATATGATTTTTTTGTATAAATTAAAAAATATAAAGAAAAATAGGAAAATAAAAATTACATCATGATGATAATTATATTATGTTTCCCACACAATGTGAAAAGTATATTATGGATCCACCACTAGTCAAACACAATGCAAAATAAGATATATATATTCATATAGATATATAGAATAAATGAGAAAAGTTTCCAACACAATGCAAAATAAGTAATAAAGGCACCGTAGACATAAATCTCCACACTTTTTAAAGATATTTGCATATTAGACAAAATCAAGTAACGTGATAATGTTATTATATATTATACTCATTAAATAAACATTTTAATTGACACTAAAAATTATTCAATCTTTACCAAATATATCATATAGAAAATTATATTAATTTCATTATACCACATCAAATTATTGGGTAAAGGATAATTTGTTTAATCTCATCCAACATCTCACATATATGGCATAGATAAAGGATGAAGTAAAATATCAACTACAATCACCACGATATTAGTTTACATATGTTATGATAGTAAAGCAATACTACAAATAAAACATGTATAATTAAGCATTGTTATCCATAGGAAAATTAGGCACGATTTTTGTGTCTAATATGATATTTGATTTCTCAAGTAAATTATTTTTCGTGCAATATACAATTCTCCGACCGGCTCTCCATCAATTATGGATCCACCACTAGTCTTTCCACTTTAATAAGGGAAAGCAACCCATATATTACCATAACACCCATAAATAACATATGTACAAGGAGTGTTAAAGAGTGATTAATTTGCATGTTAGACTATGATAATCATAGAGGTATATGTATGAATTTTGTAAATGTTATTGGATAATTAGCTTATGAGTGTCATTAACAAGAGTTTGGCTAGTACCTACTGCGATTGCAACACGTGGCAAAAAAATAAATCAACGGTTATGATTTTAAATAAAAAATGAATAAATCTTTTAATTAAAATTTTTTTTCTAAATCCCTAAACCTCTTTCTCATTATCTCATTCAATGTTATTAAAACCGTACCGGTTATCAAACCGGTTAGGGTACTGGTATAGTGGTACAGTGGTTCAGTAATTAAACCGCATGCCGGTTAAACCGGACATACTTGCTTATATATATATATATGTAAACCTATAACAAAAAATTTCAAATAAGTAGATATTCATATTTATAATCCATATTCATAATTTACTTCAAATTCACACAAACAAACAACATTAAGTCTTTAATAAAATCAAAGTCTAAAGTACAAAACATATATTTATCCAAAATTATCACTTAACAAACGCAAAATACAAATAAATGACCCAAGTATCAATCATTGAAGTTGAAGAATTGGTGAAGAATTGAAAATTTGAAATTTAAAAAAAATAATAATAATAATGTACAAACCAACCGGTTTACCGGTTTTCACCGGTTTTGACCGGGTTTCAACCGGTTTTGACCGGTTATATTGCATATGCGGTATAACATACGTACCGTACCGGTTAGGGGTCCGGTTCACCGGTTTTCCGGTTGAACCGGCCGGTACGGCACGGTTTTCAAAACTATGATCTCATTTATCCTCTCCCTTTTTCAATGTAACTCTCCATCTTTATCCCATCTCTCTTCTCCCCTCCCTAGTAAAATCTCTCTTGTCCCAACCTACCATGTCTACCCATTCAATTGGTATGATGAAACTCACTCCACTAAGTTGCTGCTGGTTCGAGACAGACAAATTACAGTCTTATGTTCTAATAATTTCATATCTCTTCCTTGAATTTATTTGATTTCACTTCAATTCCCAAAGCCTAGTCACCTCACTCATGAAGGGAAGAGAATGACGAAGGGAATAAAATATACTTGCATGGTGGGTGTTTAAGATATGACTTTAAAGGATTTGTAGAGAATGAGAAGAGAAATGAGAAATATTTTCCATGGAGAAGAGAGATTTTACCATGGAGAGGAGAAGAGAGATGGGATAAAGATGAAGAGTTACATTGAAAAAGGGAGAAGAAAAATGAGATAATGAGAAAGAGGTTTAGGGATTTAGAATTTTTTTAATTAAAAAATTTATTCATTTTTATTTAAAATCATAACCGTTAATTTATTTTTTTGCCACGTGTCGCAATCGCAGTAGGTACTGGCATCTCCAGTAATAGAGAGGAGCCATACTCCATTAACAATGTTGCGAAACCCAGTCCCAATATTAAATTGGAAGAGATCCCATTTTAAGTTTAACTAGATTAAACGGTTAAACCATTCGGTCAAACCAATTAATTTTATATATAATTGATAAATTTTTTTCTCTATAAATATATAATTATATATTAATGCAAAAAATTTACAATTAATATTTATGTATAAATATATTAAACTAACACATCTCCATCTTTTTTATTCGATCAAGGTAAAACAAAACACTATACTAATGTTCCATTTTTTAATTTTAAGTGAACCGTTCGATTCACTTCTTGCGATATTCCAATTTAACCATGTTTAATATGGTAGAACTGAAATTTATCCGATTCAAAGTGATCTAACCAATTATTTGATTAGAATGCAAATGAGAGTCGTTTTCAAGTCCGATTAGCAATTAGATGAATCAAAACGCTCTTCCCTGTTAGTCATTAATTTTTTTGGGGTACAATGGTCATTAAAATTTAGATAATATTGAAGTGGTCATTAAAATTTAGATAATATTGAAGAATGAGAAATTTGAAACAAAGAGAAAACATATCAATCAATACCTAAGTAAACCTAACCAAATCTGAAAATAATATTACCAAATAAATAATAGATTAGAATAGATTGGATAGTCATTACATTATTTGTGTGAGGGCAATTAGTTAATCCTTGGAAAAATTACATATAAAATCCCTTCTCTTCTTCCACAACTCTTTTATTCTCCCTTTCCTCTTCGTTAGGGTTTTCATTCCACCTGTAATAACCACAACACTATTTCTCTTTCTTCCTTCTCGCTCTCTATTCCACTCCACTTCTACCTCACTCACCATTCTCTTCACCTCTATAGTGCGATTCCTTCAGGGTTTGGAATTCGGTTATTTTCGAATTTCTAGGGTTTCGGTGCGATAAATGATTAGATTGATTGCAATTGTGAATTACCGCTCGGTGGCGACCGAGTTCATGAATTAAGCGGTGGGTTTGGTTTTGTATGGAAACTCGTAGTCGGAAGCGGGCGGAGGCTTCCTCACCTGCCCCTTCATCTTCTTCTCCTCGTCCCACTACTCGTTCTACCAAACGCCCTCGTCTCTCTTCTTCCACCGCAACCGCCGCCACAACCACCACTGCAATCACAACAACTCCGTCTCGTTCGGTCAACACTCGTTCCCGCGCATCCAAGACCAAGGAACCCTTGCCGCCTAAAAACCCTCCGCTTATGGACCCCACCAATGAATCCTCCGGCTCGCGTGGTCGACGTGGCAAGAACAAGAACACCGTTGGGGACAATTCCGACAAGGGAAAAGAGAAAGAGCACGATGTGAGGATAAGGGAAGCGGAGAGGGGGAATGCTTTGAAAATGGAAAGTAGTGGCATAGGGGATGGCGATGATAACGACAGCGAGGGCGGCGTTGGCCATCAGAATCTGACGTCAGCGAGCAGTGCTCTTCAAGGGCTTCTTCGTAAACTCGGTGCTGGTTTTGATGATCTGCTTCCTTCGTCTGCCATGGGTTCTGCCTCGCATCAGAGTGCGAGGTTGAAGAAGATCCTTGCTGGATTGCGTGCTCATGGAGAAGAAGGTCGCCAGGTTGAGGCATTGACTCAGCTCTGTGAAATGCTTTCGATAGCGTCAGAGGAATCACTTAGTACTTTCTCAGTTGATTCATTTGTTCCGATACTAGTTGGGTTGTTGAATCATGAGAGCAATCCTGATATCATGCTCCTTGCTGCTAGGGCGCTGACCCATTTATGTGATGTGCTACCTTCATCGTGTGCTGCGGTCGTGCATTATGGTGCAGTGTCAATTTTCTGCGCGAGACTGCTTACAATCGAGTATATGGACTTAGCTGAACAGGTTGGTCACTTTCTCATCACTGATATGATTGGTGAAATGATTTTTGAAACTTGGAACAGATATAAGGCGTTTCATGTTTAGTTCTGATTGTGCATATTGATTTTAGGACTGTTTAATACGAGGTTCCCAAGTCTTTGTTATTTTCTATTGCCAGTTTATGTATTTGCTTTGTCATTGATCTGGTTCGTTGGGTTGTTGACATGAACAGTCTCTTCAAGCTCTAAAGAAGATATCTCAGGAGCACCCAACCGCCTGCTTACGAGCTGGGGCTCTTATGGCTGTGCTTTCTTATTTGGAT